CAGACCAAAAAAGGCATTTCCCCAAGGAAAAGGCATAAGCTGTTGAACTACTTGGCAGCTTTTTATGGCTTCAAAACCACACTACAAACAGCTCTAGAGTTCCCCAACCCTGGACCAGCCAAGCTTCACAAAAAGTATCTTGAACTGTCCACAACTTGTTCCCACGATCCGGGATACAGTACCTTCTCAATTTCAGATGAAATTGCAACCGGTTTCCACTGAAATTTCTGTCCATTCACACCACAGAATCATGCATGTCGTTGCAGCCATGACCTGAAACCTCCCACACCAGAAAACGCCAAGACCAGATCTGACACTGCAGTGTTCAAGCCACGCTTCTCTTTTGTTTTTGGTTTTTGGTTCCACATAGAATGTTGAACCCAAAAACCAAAATGTCGTCAACGGGTGCAGAAACCCATTTGGGCATAGGAAAATCTGGAGACTTCGTCAGGCAGAAAATATCCTCCTGTACTTGAGTCGTTCATAATTGTCAATCAAAGCAAGGCAAATCAAATGAATATTCAATTATTTCTATAAACCTTGGAAGGCAGCCCAGTCCAAGCAACAATCAAAGTTCGCAAATTGACTTTTTGAACACTCTGCCAGCACGTCTGATGTATATGTCCAGCTCCACTCCAGCCTGGCAATGTTTGGACACAATTCAAGCCCCACACTTTAAACACCTTGCTGATCCTTGCTGTTTATGCTGTTCGCAAAACATCCTTCTGACCTTGTTTTCTCACAAATCCATGACTCTTGGTTCTCTTGTGTTTTGTTCCCCATAATCAATTGCATTCTCGCCTTTTCAACCACGAAACCAATGTAACATGAGACTGTGTGGCGTGTGGTCAAAACAAATATTACACAAACTTCTAGGCCACCAAAAAGCATATACCATGGAATATTAGGTCCAGCCTATGCCATTGCGGCTTCACACAGGAATAAAATAGCCCGCAACATATGAGTGGACATCCATGGTCCTGAATATAAGAGGTTCCGCGCATGCTAGGCAAGTGTTTGACAAATCATCCGTTTGATGTCTTATCTTCATTCATCTCACGTATATGCTGCACAATGTGACGAATTAGGGAATGAGAACTTAATCTTGAGCAATATTTTGTTGCTTCTTTCAGGGGCCCACGCCACTTAAACACCATCCGAACATGTCGCCTTTACCACTCAATTGCCCACATGTCAAAATTACAAAAGCAGCAACACCGACCAATTTGCATCCCAAGGACCAGGGTGACGGTCCTCATCTTCAACAAAAAAGGGCAGTTACAATAGATGGGCATAGGGCTGCTGGAGCTGCTTCCGGGAGACGTAGTGAAGGCCACAACTTCGTGGGCTGCCAGTGCATGGCTGGTTTGATGCAGCCCTTGTCCTTGCGCAGGAGCTTTGCACTGCACAGGTCGGGAACCGACGCATCTTCAAAGCTGGACGCCAGGGGTGGTGCTTTCCGATGCACATTCGGATCTGCTTGGAGTTGGCCAATGGTCTAAATATTATGTGTGCAGAGATATGTGGAGTGTCATGGGAATTGTCTGATGCAAATGTGCACGTTGTCAAGCAAGGCGGCATGTGATCATTTGATCTTGAGCAAAAGCATCTCGAAGTTTGCTTCTGAACAACCGGAGGGAAAGCCTCGGCAGCGGAACAGATCGCTTTGCTCATCACCATCGGCAAGAGTTTTGGGCGGATATCTTTGAATGGAACCCCTTCGCAGCAGTTGCAGGTCAATAGCACAAAGTCCAAAGGCCGAAATTGAAGAGAGAGGTTCAGGGTCATGCAGGATGCGCCCGGACTTTTGCTGAGCATCAACCTTGCAGTCCTATATCCAAGAGGAGGTTAGCAAGAAGGAATCATCAACTTGGAACAGAGATGTGCTGTGCAAGAGTCCGAGGAGCTTCTTGAATCTGTTGGAGTACAACGACCTTGTCTCGCATGCTTTGAAAGGAACGGCATGTCGTCACTTTTGGAAGATCTGATGCAGTTTGCTATTGCTCAAGAATAAGCTGCGATTCTGGCATGCGGCTGACAAGCCAGCTGCCAGTTGGCTTTGTCAGCCAATTCTTGATGGGGAAACCTTCCCGCACTGAACAGCCAAGACCGGGATTTTGAGCCAATCGAATCAAAATCTCACATGCTTTAGACAGACTTGGGAAAAGCTCTTACTCCTTCCAATCAGCAATGTCTTGAAATGAAAGTCCGCTATGTTGACTTTGCCAACTACGAGCCATCTGCCAAACCAGGTTCCCAGCACAACAAAGTGGAAGAGGTGCTGGGTTTCAAGGACAGAGTGTTGGAAAGACACTCCGCATGTCCAGGCACGCAGGCAATTTGACATGCCCTTGGAAGAAACTGGGCTTCTTCAACGCAGCAGCGCATCCTCTTGGTCAAGACCCTGGCCATGGAAAGCTTTATTAATCCCTCCTGGTGGCAGCATGGTTCAGGTTTCTCACCTTGTCAGAAGGCATTTTTGTTTGCGCTTAAACACCAGTCCCGCAAGCTCTCTTGAATCTGAAGTGCGATGGATCCCATTCACTGAGACCGGAACTTCTTGCAAGGGCTCTGGTGCGAACACAGCTTTGTGTTTCTATGGTGGCTTGTCTGGGAGACCAAGAAACGAGAAAGGTGGGGCTGACCCAATGACAATGTTGATTCAGAAGCTTGGGACAAACCAGGTAAGGGCAAAATTGATATGAGGGAAAGGAACAAACATTTGCTTTTCATTGACAACAGAACTTGGTGGCTGGGGACAGATAGCTTTCCATGAGGCCGAGTCCTCATTTTAAAGGGCGGCATTTGCAAACAAGTTTTGGGGCTTTAGACTCTATGAATGTTTGATATGAGAGTATATTCGAGGCAATTCGAGGGAGTGTTGCTGGGGCTGCATCATGGCAGTGACAAGCCTGCTTTAAATTGCTGATCCAGGCGCAACTAAGTATACGAGAGGTCAAATCCTTCTTGAGCCAGTTGCGGCCACGAAAAGCGCACAATGATTGGCATCTTGCCAAAAGAACTGGATTTGGGTTTAGTCCACAGTTCGGGGGGAATTGAGTAGCAAGATCTAGCTTCCAAACTCCCTCAAAAGCAGGCCTTAAAGGCAGCACCAGCAGCACCCGCAAGCTCTCCAGAGCCGCAGCATCGGAGATCAACTCACCTGGTATGTGGTGCACAGTCAGGATTGGGTTGAATATCTCCCACGAACGCCACAGGACTGTTCGAACAGCCTTGCCGTTTGCAAAACTGCGAGTTTAGGAGGAGACACGCATCCCTTTCACACCGAGGCTTGCTCTGGGGAGGAGTTCATCTCGGGGATACGGTACCAGTACAGGACGTTGTGATCTGTGGTTGGCCGGCACATGGAATCTGCCTTTGACTCTGTCCTTCCGGCAAACCCGCTGAACACGCGGTTGACCGGTTCTACGCATTCTTAGACTTGGTCGAAGTTGCAACCTCGCCCTCCTCCTCAACTGGAGATCGAACAGTCTGAAATCTTTCGAACACTTACACCAGCTGGCACAGTGAGCACCACGTTTAACCCAAACAAGACCAATGAAGCAAATTTCAATCTGCAGAAAAGTTAGAAGGCCCGGAAGCGACTGCGCGATACTCTTGTTAAACTGTCTGGCCGGTCTAGATTAAAAGGCTCACATTGAGTCTTGTAGATGGCCCTTGTCAATTTGAGCTTTCAAGACTTCCATCCAAGCACATAGAGCTCAGCCGATTGCGAAATTCCATTAAGGTCTGGTCACAAAGTACATCATTGAAATTGCAGTGCTTCACTTTGCATTTTGTAAGCACTAGGAATTGGCGCCGACAACTTGAGAACATAGGTAAAGGTGGGAGTGGCTTACTTAAGCCTTGCAGAAGGTGCCACGCTGACATGACTCCAAAGCACAGCTGTGTTTGCTCAACTTGGAACAATAACTGGCATTATCTATGCGATACTGGACTTCGATGCCGTCGAACTAGAGCGAAGCCACAACTGCACCTCTCCGAAGCTATAGCTGGCCCGAAGCTCTTGCAGCTACGCAGGCAAGGTCTGTGAAAAGCTCGGACTGGCCCTGAGGGAGCTTTTGGCTGAGCACCAAGCATCGGCAGGGGCGTGCCATCCATGTCAGACTCCAAGTAAAGACAGAGTAGCTCTGTCTCTGATGGGTGCGTGTGCCTGGAGACAATGCTGGCAAAGTGCTGTCAAGCATGACACATTCAAAGTGAAACGATACTGTACCTCTTGGTGCAAAGTTCCTTCGTCAGGGTGTGGGAGTTCAAGGTCATTTGCTGTAAGGCGGTCCTGGCCACTTTCGGAGTTCTTAGATCTACTTTAGATGTTGTGAAAGCCATATCTAGCAAATGGACAGTCTCGGAAAACTCATGGGCATCAAAGTGCTTGAGTTTGCAGCTCAGAGGAAGAAACCCTGCAATGAACATCACGTGCAGGACAGCCTGTCCCGCAGTGAACTTAGCACGCATCAAGTTTTTTGCGGATGTGTTTTAAAGCCTTTCTGGCCTTTGGGCCATGTGCTGCAGCCTTGCGTGCACGTGTGTGTCTGTCTGTCTGTCTGTAAATGCCTGCCTGCCTCCCTGCGTGCCTGTCTGTCTGTCTGTCTGTGTGTTGTGGTATTTGCAGCACTTAAAGAACCTAGAGGTGTGAATCTCGTCTCATGTGAATTCACACTCGTCTCATCCATTTGAAGAGCGACTGATCGCATTCAAGCAAAAAACATCGACAAAAGAGTCAATTTGAAATGTCGCTTCAAGACCATGGCCATTTAGGGGCATGTCAGTTGCATGCATAACTTCTGCCTCATTCAAAAGCCCAGCCATTTCAACTGTGTGCAAACGTCCCAAGATGTCCCAAGCTAAAAGAGGCATCAAATTGACAGTATCTACTGTATCTACTTTGCACAATGCGTGCAGGGTGTGTCACTGATGATCGCACACAACCAATCCACCGGAAAGAGTCGAAAACCTCGTTAGGACTGTGAACCATCTCACAACTCACCATAGCCAGACAACTGACAAAATATCTTTGCAGCGTCACCAGCATCACCTTGCATGATTGGCATTCTTGATCTTGGATAAATCCCACAAGACATGCAGTTGATGCCTTGCATGCAGCTTGAATCATTCTCAGAAAGCACTGAGTTAGGGCTAAAAAGTTGTCCAGTTTTCTGGCCAAAGCAAGTAGGGACAGTCTGTGAGTGATTCATCCAGCTTTGCTGTCCAGCATCACTTCTATCACAACAGACAACAAGGTTCAATTTCGTGAGTAGCATGCTGACTGTCCATGCCACTTGAGAGAGTAAGCAAGGTGGTGGTGTTGTCTTCATTCCTGGACAGTCCACCAACTTCGAAATCTTCTGCGAGCCTGTAGATGTCAGCAAATTGGTCTCGAGGATTAGTCCAAAAAAATGCCATGAAAGACCAATCCCTGCAACATACATCATGCAAAATTCACAAGGAGGGAAAAAGAAGCTGCTAGCTTGGTGGAGCGCTGAAATTGTCTTTTAAGTAAGCTGCCTTGCATGATCTGACAAACACCGACTCCGTTTAAGACACAAGCGACGTTGATCTGTGTGAACTACTCAGAATGCCCCAGCCAACGTCTGGTCGCTTTCACGCAACAACCTCTATGATTCAAAGCTGTGGTGCCAGCGAGTAAAAGAAATAACTTCAAATTCATTGTGGGAAAGGTCCGGGTTTCAGTGTCTATGGGCAGGTCTCGCAAAATGGAGCTAGCAAGCTCAGTCGGCTTGGAAGCTCAAGCTTCGGTCCGCCAGAAGCTATTCCACAGAATGCACCCGGAGGAATCAGCATTCAACACCAAGCCGTTTTTTGGATGGCAGGCACATGACAAGCACAGTTGGACCGTCTCTTCGGATGTCCACCTTGGGGTGGCGATGACATGTTTGGTCAGCGAGCGTAGAGCCGACCACAATTCATCATTTAGGGTCATGCCTCATAGACAACAGATCAAGCACTGACTGAACCATGATAGTCACTGCAGCTTGACCAGAATGAGGACGGTCAAGTCGTGTCCGGACCAGATTTTCTCGTAAAAGCAGAGAGTGCTGCTTTATTTGTTTCATCGTGTGCAGCGAAGAAACTTGTGAGGATGACAAACATGCTTTCAAAAAACGTGCGTACCGAGTTTTAGCCCCCCATTACACAGTTTTTTCTTGCGCAAACCTTTCGCAGCCTAAGGTCAGTGCCTGCGTCACTTAATGGTGTGACAATCAAGCTTCTCAAGCTTCTCAAGCTTCTCAAGCTTCTCAAGGTCTCTGGCGTCGAAAACAAAGCTCAGTAGACTGAGTGTCTGGACAGGACAAATGACAGGACCTTCCTTTCTGCATGTCCCCGAAACTCGAAAAACCATTAGCTCTTGTTCAATGGCATGCGATCAAGCGACCTTTTTGTGGCAGAGATCATTCCACCCAGCAAGATTGGTGCTTGCGGCAAGGTAGCCAAAGGGCCCAAGTCAGATCTGCTTCCGTTACAATTCCTGAGGAATGATGGAATTACCCTGCCAATTATCTCTCTTTTGCAACAAAAAACATGTTGCACTGACCAGGTGCTTTCATCTTCACCATTGACCTTTTACATTTAGAAGCTTTCAAATTGTTGCGATTGCTGGCTTGAAGAGACAGTGTGGTGCCATCCTGTTGTTGACCCGCTTGGCAGCAGAGCAGAGCGTTAGCAATGAGGGGTTCTTCAGCCCGTTCATCAGTTAACACATGATCCCTCGGCTGGCTTATGGGGTTGGTATTCATCCAAAGACATGGCAGTCTTCGACTTCTTGGGCTTTCTCAAGAAATGAAAAGGTGAATGGAAAGCGAAGCGAAAACGGCCTGCAACAAGGCGGAACTTTACATTATTTGTAATTAGGTGTCATTGCTCTTCCAAACCTGAATTCTCGGAGTGCCTTCCACTTCGGGTGCAAAAATCTGACAGAACTCCGACACCGATGAAACCGAACGAAGCAGCAATTTGCCTGTTTGTACAGGTAGTTTGCAGCAGACGAGACAGCAGGAATGGCTTTTCTTAGCCATTCATTGCAAGACCATCACTTCCTATCGTAGGACTTGAGGCCCAAGGGGGGGGTGAACGAAAGCTAAGGTTCATATGAGCCTGGAAACATGATGGGATTTTGATGGGATTTTGATGGGATTTTCGATATGCTGAATACCGATTGCCTAGAGACCTGCCAGGATTTGAGCCCGTGACCATCTGCTTCGAATCTTCCAAGACCGCCTCAAAATGCCCCAGGAGCTTAGGGAGGGGGGGTTCGAGTGAAAAATCACTGTGTTGGACTCAGACCTGCCCCTCCCCTTCCTGAAGCAAGAGTAACTCCAGGTAGCTACTGCTAGCTTTCGTGAAATATGAGACAGGCCGGCCAAAATACTTAGTCTTGTGAACATACAGTGAGCTGGAAAATGTACTGCAAACGGATGAAAAACCATAGGACAGTGCTCCAGCAGCCGAGACCTATGCACAGTCAGCCATGGTCTTCTAAACCTGAAGTCTCGAGCGTCTTTGACTTCCACAACGGACTGAGTCTGGGGGTGAAACTGCTGCTTGAAAATCGCGCTGATCGCCGCACCAGACTCTTGGCTTTCCATCTCCAGCTTAAGCTTACAGCACTCCTTTCATTCCTTTTTTCAAAAAACTTGCCTTCTCTGATTAATGGTAGCCAGAAAGACTGCACCAAGTCGCTCTTACCTCTCTGGAGTTTGTGCACTCCTTGATGACCCAGATTGAAACATTAAGGTGAACATCTTTTGATGCCCTCCCAACAAAAGAGTTGGAGAGTGGGCATGCCAATCCGTGGTCCCCCAGCTGGAGAGCATCAAGGAGGCGGGCTTCGCTGACACTGCAATGTCTCTGACACAATCGCAACTGGACTTCAGCACAACCAGGAAGGGATCTGTGGACATCATGTCTCAAACGAACTGAAGCGGAAAAAATCAAGAGAGGAACAATCTGTTGACTCTCTATTTTGCCACATCCTTCCCAATCAAATGAAAGGAAGTTGCGCTTCAAATTCAAGAGCAGCCGCTCCACTGCGAAGACTTCAACTCCAAAAGACGCATAGCATAACGCGGTTTACTCTACATCCCTAGATTCTTTTTTTGGGTGCCCCTCAAGCAATACCTCTCCAAAGGCAGAGCATACCACACTGCATGCAGCGTCTGGACAATGCAAGCACTCTCGCGAGATTTGTTCCTCGATAAAAAGTTTGTCCGCGTGGATGTGAAGGAACCCCAAGAGCTGTTGGTATGGGTAAAAGGTGTATCTGGCAGGTCTGTCATATCTCGTCATGTCCCAGCAGCTGCTTGCAAAGGAACAACCCTTGAAGGCCACTGGTTCCTGCAAAACACGTTTAATCAACTTGGCAGTAGACACTGTCATCTGCAGGCGTGAAATCCTACAAAGTCTTGCCACAAAAGTATGTGACAATTGCAACAGGTTTGGAGGCCCAGCAATTGTTTGCGCAACGTGCACTGCTCTCATGCACTGCAAATATACACTTTCGTGCGTCTTTGACACAAGGCCGTACAAAGCAGCAGAATAGCATGGGACATCCTGCGTTGAACCCATGAAAATATCAGATTACGGGAGTCAATCCCCAAAGCTTTTTGCTGCAAGAACATAGGGGGCCAAGGAATCTGCAAATCAAGTGCCACTCTCAAGTCGTGGCTTCCCAGCAGCTGCTTGCAAAGGAACAACCCTTGAAGGCCACTGGTTGCCACTGGTTCCTGCAAAACACGTTTAATCAACTTGGTAGTAGACACTGTCATCCGCAGGCGTGAAATCCTACAAAGTCTTGCCACAAAAGTATGTGACAATTGCAACAGGTTTGGAGGCCCTGTAATTGTTTGCGCAACGTGCACTGCTCTCATGCACTGCAAATATACACTTTCTTGCGTCTTTGACACAAGGCCATACAAAGCAGCAGAATAGCATGGAACATCCTTTCTTGAACCCATGCAAATATCAGATTGCGGGAGTCAATCTCCAAAGCTTTCTGCTGCAAGAACATAGGGGGCCAAGGAATCTGCAAATCAAGTGCCACTCTCAAGTCGTGGCTTCCCAGCAGCTGCTTGCAAAGGAACAACCTTTGAAGGCCACTGGTTGCCACTGGTTCCTGCAAAACACGTTTAATCCACTTGGTAGTAGACACTGTCATCTGCAGGCGTGAAATCCTACAAAGTCTTGCCGCAAAAGTATGTGACAATTGCAACAGGTTTGGAGGCCCTGCGAGGGTCTGGGCAACGTGCACTGCTCTCATGCACTGCAAATGTACACTTTCTTGCCTCTTTGACACAAGGCCATACAAAGCAGCAGAATAGCATGGGACATCCTGTGTTGAACCCAGGCAAACATCATATTACGGGAGTCAACCTCCAGAGCTTTCTGCTGCAAGAACAGAGTGGGAAGCTGAGGCTTTTCCAAATCACATGCTGTGCCTATCTTTTGGCGGTCAACTACCCACAGCTGCGCCATCTTGCCATTCTTCAAGAATCAAAAATCATAGCAGGCTGGGTGGAATCAGTAAAAACCGGGAGTGGGAGAATGCTTTGGGAGACTCGCTGTCCTCATCTCGTACCGCGAAGCGCAAGACAAATCTCTCTGCATTTTGTGCTCTCCTTGATGACCCAGGTTGAAACATTAAGCCGAACTTCTTTTGATGCCCTCCCAACGAAAGAACTGGAGAGTGGGCATGCCAATCCGTGGTCCCCCAGCTGGAGAGCATCAAGGGTATGGACTTCGCTGACACTGCGGTGTCTCTGACACAATCGCAACTGGACTTCAGCACAACCCGGAAGGGATTTATGCACGTCATGTCTCAAATGAACTGAAGCGGAAAAAATAAAGAGAGGGACAATCGGTTGACTTTGTCTTCTGCCACATCCTTCGCAATCAAATGAAAGGAACTTACGCTTCAAATTCAAGATCTGCGGCTCCAGTGCAACGACTTCAACTCCAAAAGACGCATAAAACGGTTCACACTACATCCCTAGATTCCTTTCTTGGGTGCCCTTCCAATAATGGCTCAACCTCTACAAAGGCAGAACACACCACACAGCATGCAGCGTCTGGACAATACAAGCACTCTTGCGAGATTTGTTCCTCGATGAAAAAATTGTGCGCGCGGATGTGAAGGAACCCCCAGAGCCGTTGGTATGGGTAAAAGGTATATCTGGCAGGTCTGTCATATCTCGTCATGTCCCAGCAGCTGCTTGCAAAGGAACAACCCTTGAAGGCCGCTGGTTCCTGCAAAACACGTTTAATCAACTTGGCAGTAGACACTGACGGCTGCAGGCGTGAAATCCTACAAAGTCTTGCCACAAAAGTATGTGACAAGTGCAACAGGTTTGGAGGCCCGGCAATTGTTTGCGCAACGTGCACTGCTCTCATGAACTGCAAATATACACTTTCTTGCCTC